ATGTGAGAGGTACGGGGATCGATACCCCGCATCTCCAATTGGATTATTTCCCTTTTTTGCCAAGTAAAATACGCAGACGTCGGCAGTTTTGTCTTTTGCATTCTGGGACTAACATGCATGGTGGGGCAGTGGAAGTTGCCACTAATGAATATTCAAAGGTTGCTTTGTAGTAGCTGCCAAGCGAGCATTATCCGTGGAGTCTCACATCCGCATCCCTTAGATGCCGCCCCCATGTCGACAATCAAGACGCGTAATTTGATTTGCGCCCTCATCACATTATTGCACTCAAAAAAAAGGGATTTATTTTGTATAATTACATATTTTTATTAAATTTTTTTATAAAACCCTCCAATTTTTCTGCTCTTTACAAACTTTATAAATACATTTTGATCAAACGGAAAATAATTTTAAACTGTTTTTAAGGTAGTAGCATATTTAAAATAATTTATTTCCCCCAGTTCAAGAAAAAAATAATTTTTTAATATCCTTTTTTTTAGTAACAAGATTATCAGGCCTGTTCCAGTTTTCACTCGGAAGTGAATTTGTTAACATTATCGGATTTCCCTTTAACAGAACTAAATTTCCCTTTCTTGCTAGGGACATTTTAAAAAATTTCCCATTGGTCCCTGCGCAGTTTTGAAAGGCTCCCGACAGAATAGTATTAAAAATCAGTGTGGGAATCATAGTATTGCAAACTGCAAGAGCATACAGAGATGCCAAAGTCGCAAAACAAAGTCCCTATCAAATGTCCCCGTTCAAATTTCACATGAAAAAATGTGGTATTCCGAGCCAAAACACTTATTTCGTTAATTAGGATAAATTACACTGTGCAGCATTTTTAGTGCTTTTTAAATTTACCTCGATGGATGCTATATTTTTGGATTCGTTACGAATTCCCAAGTTAAACTGCGTTTTCCAAAAAGTTCCCCGACGCAAGGATTCTTAGCAAAAGGACCTCAAAGTTCGAAAAATGCTGAAATTGGCCAACTTTGCGGAGCTCTCAGAGGCAAATGGATGCATGGTTTGATTCTATGTTAAAGTTTTTTAAAAGATACACCCTTTATCTTTTAAACCCTATACTTAAACAATTTTTAAGATTTTTTTTAAGGCAGAAACAAATTCTAGAAAACATAGTCAAAAAACATAAAAGTATACAGCTGCGGTCAAAATGGTAGTAGTGTTGCCGCCCTGTGTATTTAAAAGTTTGTTGTTGTAATTGATCTTTTCCTGGTAATATTGTATTGATTATAATTTTACTATTAGACTAATTGGATAAGAAAAAATTACAAAATCAAACTTTTAAAAACACAAGGCGGCAACACTGCTACTACTTTGACCGCAGCTGTATGTTTTTCAGTTTTTTGACTATGTTTTTTGGAATTTATTTCTGCCTTAAAAAAAAATCCTAAAATTATTTTATGTATGGGGTTTGAAAGATAAAGAGTGTATCTTTTAAAAAACTTTAACTTCGAACCAAGCCATGCATCCATTTGCCTCTGAGAGCTCCGCAAAGTTGGTCAATTTCAGCATTTTTCGAACTTTGAGGTCCTTTTGCTAAGAATACTTGCGTCGGGGAACTTTTAGGAAAACGCAGTTTAACTTGGGAATTCGTAACGAATCCAAAAATATAGCATTCGTCGAGGTTAATTTTTGATGCTGCATAGTGTTATCTTTCTTATAAAAGAACCATTAACCTTATCGGATAAGTTTAGATTAAGTCCCAAGGAAATTCTAACCTATATCCATACCGTGACAACTCTAGGCCATTTTTACCAAATCCGAGCGGAATTTAGAACAAGGGCGGCGGATTTGCATTAATTGTCATAGCTAGAATTTACCGGGTTTTAAGGTGCAACCACAAAATAATTATTAATAAGTCATATATGCAAATAATTTCGATTCCGATGATGCAATTAGGAACATAAAACATCAAAGAATAGCATAAAAATATTATTGACTTATAAAGCTATCGCGAAGTATATTTAAAGAATTAATTTTTATACTGCCGAATTTAAATCCGCCTGTCATATGTTTGGCGGAAAGTTTCCGTGTGAATTTTTCGGAAGTTAACAGAGTAACAACAGAGGGAAATTCGATTCCGTGCAGTTCTTTCGGAAGTGAGTCTTGGAACAGGTCTGGGAAATTCGAATCCGTGTGAAACTTTCGGAAGTGAAAACTAGAACAGGGCCGTATGTGATGTTTAAATATTAAATATTAAGGATAGATTCTTATTTTTGAAGTGTAGTCCAAGGGCTGTGGAAATGGCTGAGAGAACACATTGTCGCACATAAATCAGCACAATATGCCAATGTTTGTTTACCTCCCTGCATCGCAGAGAACTTTGCCAGCAATTAACCAGACAGCCGCAGCAGTCAGAACAGTCAGCGCAGTCGAAATCCAGAATCCGGATGTGAAACTGAATCCTGGGAACAGGAGTTGGGGTTGGAGTTGTCAAAGGGGCGAAAAACACGGTCCCAGGACGCCGCGGGCAGCTTCACGAACTCCTCGAACGTCTGAGGTAGCCGGGTCTTGGGTGTTTGTAAATGATACATGATGTGCTATTTATGAGCAAAAGCTTTTGTTTTAATTTTTTCCCTACCTTGGACTTTGTTTTCCACAATTTTTGCAGGACAAAGTTTTTGTCGTGTAAGCTAGTTAAGCCATAGCTGTTTTCGTGTCGTTGTTAAAATTTATGTATTTATTTCTAGATTTTTAATTGTTTTGAGTGTTTGGCTCCGCAGAGTTTCCAGTGGATATTTGAAAGTAAAAAAAAAATTAATTCTGGAGATGCGGGGCATCGATCCCCGTACCTCTCACATGCTAAGCGAGCGCTCTACCATCTGAGCTACATCCCCTTGTTGTGATTACTCGAAAAATGGTTCAATATCCACCGCTTGACTCACTCAAAGGTGGACAATTACCCATAGTTTACCGTTGGTAGTTGGTATGCAAGTCGACAAATGACCCGGTTTCAGTTTCGTAGGCCAAGACTGAACTGGTTTGCAGCTTAACTTTGTTTGGGGTGTGGCATTTGAAAGACATGACCAAGCTTCAATTAAAGACAGTGGCGTAGTTTAAGAGAAGGGGTCTCTATGGGTATTGATGTTATATTTTTAGACTGATAAACAAAAATTACACTCAAGACAACCAGATAGGGATATACTGCTATCTTATTATTTTATTAAAAAATGTTTTTTACCACCAAACAGAAAGAAAGTCGTAGGAAGACGAAGCTTAAAAATTCTTCCAATACATTTGGGAACAGGAAAAGAAATCAGACTTCTTGGCACTTGACAAAAAATTAATATGCATAACGCATAGCGGAAAGAAAAAATAAACTTGGGAAAATGTATGCAGTGATGAGTGAAAAAGGATGCTACTTGATTCTGTTTGGTAGTCCCAACTCAACCCCAGCAGAGTCAACAATAAAGCGTTCCCTTATCGGAACCGGAAACGGTTCTCAAGAAAGCGAAAGTCACGGTGGCGTATGTGACAAGTCCTTTCTAATGAGCAGGATGAACACAACACGTAGACAAGCGAGAACCTACTGCTCAAATCAAGCCAAAAAGTCGCCCTCAACTAATAAACTTCTCGCAGGTCCAAAGTCAATTAAAAAAGGAACAAAAATTGTACGTGACACCCGTAGATAGACAGTCCAAAATAAAAAGGGAATGTAAAAGATGGAATGAGATGAGTGCTCCTCAAGCTGAAATACTTGAACTAAAAAGTCGCAGACTGTCTTGAAATTAAAATTACACGACGCTTGAATAACTTTGGCCGTACTTCCACTCCACTTTCGTTCCGCTGGCAGGTAAATGCTGACAAAAGTTTTTGAGGTAGCATTTCTTTTACGATTCGCCAGAGAGTGGATGCGCCACTTGCTACGTTTTTGTCATTAATTTTGTATATCATTGAGTTTTACGAGGCTCATAAATATGAAAACGTTTAACTCTTGCTGGCTGACAAACAAAATTCGGCTTGGCTTGGGGGATTCCCGTTTTATATGAGACAAACTAATTGTCTTGTACTTGTAATGTGTTTTTAAGCGCAGCCACGCTTCCCACATGTTTTCACAATGTTTCCCCGATAAACAAGAACTTGGGGGGATTCGGGTTTTTGGGGCAGGAGTTTTAACAATTAGTAGGGTGACTTGAAGGGTTCGCCGCCTTTTCTCGTGTGCAACAGCTTGAGGTAATTTTCAACTTTTACTCTTTGTTTTGGCGTTGACAAGAAGCGTGTTGTTTTGTTTGGTTTTAATTAAAGCCCAAAACATATCAAGTTAAATGTTGGCTTGGCTTGGGGAAGGAAACCCACTGCCGTTTTAGCTTTGTGGCAATAAGTTCTTACTTGAGACAAGTAAATTGGAGGATATTGTAGCGTTCAATTAGTTTCCTTAAGCAGGTATTGTGTGACCATTATTATTATTAAATACTATTTCATATCCAATCTATTAAATTCTTGAAGCTTTTTAACCGAATCAAAAAATTCTTATTTACATTCTTTAGAGATTCGGACTTAAACTTTCTTACTTTTAAATTTTTAATTAGTCCATGTTACAAATGACATTAACGAAAAGGGCGACGGCAAAGATTTGTGGTCGTATATTTTAGCATTTCTTAACGAGATTTTTCTGGGGGAAAAAAAAACAAAAGACCAACGGAATTCGCACCTTTGCATACACAAATAGCGAGGGCCAAGTTTTGGCGGATGGGAAGTCCTGAGAAATGCGGATGGGGTCAGGGGTACTGTGGTTATAAATTTTAAATCTGTTAAATTAATGCAGCAGCTTTCTTTCATTTCTCCGTTCGTTTTCTTACGTGCCAGAAAGTTACGAGTAAACTCCGGGCACGTTGCTTGATTACATTAATTATTCCTTTATTGTTTGCAAAAGTTTTCACCATTCGCGGCGGTTCTGTAGTTATGTTTTTGTAATTCGTCTAATTGTAATTAATTAGAAAAGAGTTTACTTACAATGCATATCTTTTTCTATTTCATTTCAGTGGTCCTTATAACAATAGAGTGGTAAGTTAAAAAAAAGCATTGAATACTTGATTGTTCTAATCAACAAAAATGTTGTAGTGGACCAATTATAATCAAAGGCATTCGCCATACCCGCGTTCAAACTACGGAAATCGAGAGCATTCGGATAGTCACAGTTCAAATCAGCAACGCCAGGAGAGAGATTATTCTAAGAGAACTGATTTTCATGAGAGGAAACCTAGATATTCCGATGAAGGCTACTCTGGGAGGTACCGAGATTATCACTACAGGGACAGGGACAGGGATAGGGACCATTACCACAGATATCAGTCAAGGAGGTCGCCTTATCGTAGGGATGAACGTGATTCAAGTCTAAGTCGAGATAGTTTCTCTAAATCGCCTTATAATAATGACGAAACGGGTTCAAGTCTAAGCAAAAATCCAAGTGACACTAGACGAAATATTGAACATAACTGTGAACGGGAAAGTGACACTTCTAAAGCTCAAGAACCTCAAGATCAGGATCAAACTGAAGACGTAATAACTGAACACGTGCAAAATAAAGATCAAATAGCAAGCAAAGACCACGCAAGTGAAATAAGTACAGTTGCGTCAAAACGTGATCAAAGCACAGAAACCAATGGGTTGAAAGAAGGCTCCACTGCTACCGAGCCAGTCAATGAATCTAAAGCTTCTGAGTTAATAGAGAGAACTCCCACTCAAGAGCAGAAGGAATCAGATCAAAGCGCAGAAGAACTACCAACTATCAGTCGATTCCTAATAGAGAAACTAAATCTCTCCAATGAGAATGCTTCGTGTTCGGAGGCTGCTCAATCATATCCCCGTATTACTGTGCGTCCCCTCACGGAGCTACTGAAGCAGGAACTCTTTGCAGTAACCCAAGAGAATCTTCTGGGCAAGAAACCTTCTCTGAGTCCCGCCAGTCCTGGTCGCCTGGCTGTTAAACCCACCCTCCGAAATCGTCGAAGGACAGTAAGTAACTGTAATCACATAGCCGGGAGTACTAGTAATGCCGAAGACAATGAAGCAATCATCAATGATCGGATTGCTAGCATGGACAAGGAGAGTCTGAAGTACATAATCAACAATGGCGACACCATCTACGAACAACACTTACAGCTCCAGGCCAGGCGACGTTTACGCGACGAGATCCGTCGACAGCTAAAGACCATCGAATTGGATCAGCCCAAGGATAATCAGGTGAAGGAACTGGTCGAGGATGAAATAGTAGATGCCATCAAATTGCCCGAGCTTCTGCTGCAGGAGATCGGAAAGTGTTTCGGCATAGACATATCAGAAGGTCAAAAAGTCCAAGATTCTAAGGAAGATACAACGTCGAGTAAAAACAGCGAGGAAAATCCCAGCCCAGTCAAAGAAAGTGAAGGCTCTGAAAAGGAAACTTTCAAGAGTGCAGAAGGTTCAGAAGAATCTGTAGCGGTCAGTAAAGAAATAAAAACGGGTGTTAAGAAGACTAAGAAGACTATCAAAGATAGCAACCAGTGCATTAAGGATAAGAAACTTCAAAAGAAAGGGCAGATCAATCATCAAAACCAAGAAGATAATCCAGAAAATGGTATAAAATCCAAAAGGGGCAGAAAAAAGGTCTTACAAGAAAACAATAAAAAGAAAAGCCCTAAAAAGAAATTAAAGGAAGCCTTTCAAGGAAAAGGGAAAAATAAGAAAAATATTGGTGCAGAGATCCCCCAGTCAAATCCTCAAGAAGAAGCTCTCACAGAACCCACGGAACCCTTTAATTCTATGAAGAGGTCCATGGATTTGATGGCAAGGCTGAAGGCAGCCGATGAGGTCAAAACTTTGGCGGGCTTACGAAAGAATCGTCCGCCCTTGTTGCCAACCCCAACATTTGGAAGAATTACCAATATCGCTGAAGAAATAAATATTAAGAGTGAGGACCCCAAACCTAGTGAACCCGTAACAAAAAAAATAAGGAACACTTCTGAAAAGGAAATCACTTCTGTAGTTTCTCCTCCAGTGAATATTACTCCCATCAAAATGGAAATAAAACGGGAATCTAGCAGCTCACCAATCACAGTGCAACCATTACCTTCTAAAGATGTTATTGACCTCCTGAGCTCTTCTGATGAAGAGGAGGAAGATCATGGCGTTGTAGATATGGACTTGGATGAATCTGAGCAAGAAATCGTTACCCCAAACATTGATCAGATGTTAGAGGTAGTACTAGAACCTGAACCTCCGACCGTGGATGATGCCGCCAGTGATCATTCCACAAGCTCCCAGTGCAGCAGTGAATCCACAAAAAGGCGCCGTAAGCTGAAACTCCAGAACGATGCAGAAAATGTGGTCGACAGCTTCGAGAAACTGATTCTACCCCATCTGCGAGAGGCTCTCACCGATCGCTATCGTCGCAATTTTTCAACAAATCTACAGAGCCGCCTGCACTTTATCTCCTGTGTGGTAACAAGCTCCGAGCACAATTCTCAGACATTTAGTAAAATCGAGATAGCCAAGATGCAGATGAATCTCAAAGCAGCCGACAATCGCCAGGCTATCGAATTTCTCCTCCGGGAGATCGTTAACGTGGTAAACTTGCAGAAACAGCGACGTCGAGAGCAGGAGGATGAGCAAAAGCTTGCGCAGTTGTTAAGCCCCAAAAAACCAGTATCCCCAGTTGAGGAAACGCCCAAGGCGTCATCGTCATCATCACCGCCTGACCGGCAGAGTACCCCAGTTTCAGTTAGTCGCCAGAGTCCTCCAACTTCATCCGCTCGCCAGACTTTACCAGTAATGGACTCCTCCGCCCCAACAACTTTACCCCAGACTGCCCGTGAAAATCCTTCCGAGCCCTTTCCCGTTGGACTGCCATTCTTGGCCATGGATCCCAGCCTATCCCATTTTTCGGCCGGTGGCTATTCTAGCATGCTGGCTGGAGGAGGGAAGACAAGCGAACCTTTGGGCCACTTGGGCGATATGGTTGCTCAGAATCTGGTTGATATCGATCGCCGTCTGCTGGAAAACCAAAACCGTCGCAGCATTCTCGAGGAGATGATAATGAAATTTCAGAAGGAGAAATCTGATCTGGAGATGCTTAGTCTAGAGCTGCAGAGTCGCAAGTTTCTGCTGATTAACTCGATGATTTCCCGAGGTCAGGCATCTTCTGTGCCAGTCGTCAAGCCAAGAAATTCACCGCCTCCAGCTGAATCAACTCAGGAATCAACGCAGGAGGAGAGTTCTAACAAGGGAGCGATTGCCAGGCGAACTAGAAGTAGAACCAGATTGAGAAGACCTATGGTAGTGAAACTGTTGCCCAAACGTCAGGCCAGAATACAGAAAAAAGTGGTCAAAAGGCAGAAGTCGGGCGAACTGATAGCGCAATTGCAGCAAGAGATGGCTGATCAGGAGGAGTGTAATAAGACGAAGGAGCAGCAAGCCAAGGAAAAGGAATCTGAAGAGAGCCTTCAATCAAATATCAAGGAAGAGCCAGTGGATGAGTCAATAGCTGATACCTCGCCCAAACTTTCGCAATCGCGTCTCAGTAAACCGAAAGCCAGTGTTACAGTTAATCCGACCCATCAACCACTGGCTATAATACCACCGCTACCACCACCACCACCGCCACCAGAACCCATCTGTCACATGTCCTACGAAGCTCCCAGCTCCTTTCTCAAGGAACCACCGTACGAACTTGAACAACACTGGTCAGAACTCGACTCCAAAGAGCAGTGCAGGTTGAGCTTTGTACCGATGGGGAAATTGCACTGTGTTCTAAGCCCCATCACCCAGATAAAGATTTACAGAGAGTACGTAATAGCCGCCGCCGAGGATGGGGATATCTACATGTTCCACCTGGTCAGTCACAAGCTGGAACGGAAGATCACCAAGCACAGCGAGGCCATTACGAATATGTGCATCAGCGAAAAGGATTCTTTTCTGTACACGACATCGCTCGATGGATTTTTTAAGAAGTCATCTCTGCAGGTTGGTCACAAGGTTTCTTTTCAGGGAGAACCCTATAATGTCTAACTATTTTATACCTTTACAGAATCTGGAACGCGTTATAGAAACGGTGTACTTCAAGGAGCCCCTGCAATCGATTGACATCGCCTGGGGATTGGCTTTTATTGGCAGCCGATGGGGAATTATATCTACCTTCAATGTGCTGGTGAGTTGAATAAACTTTACATATTACTGTAAATAAAATAAAAGTTTATTTATTTATTTATTTTTTTATTTATTTATTTATTTTTTTAAATTATTTATTTACTTATTTATTTATTTATTTATGTATTTATGTATTTATTTATTTATTTATTTATTTATTTATTTATTTCTTTATTTCTTTATTTATTTATTTATTTATTTATTTATTTATTTATTTATTTATTTATTTATTTATTTATTTATTTATTTATTTATTTATTTATTTATTTATTTATTTATTTATTTATTTATTTATTTATTTATTTATTTATTTATTTATTTATTTATTTATTAACAGGAAATTATAAATTGCCTATAACCTTAGTGGCCTTAAGCTAAGTTTGTAAAATAACAGTAATTTAGGCGTAAAGCTCTCAAGAGTTTCCCTGCTCAATCTTACTTATGCCACTCCAATGAAAATTTCCCAGCCAGACCAATAACTCATTGGAAGGTCTCCCACCGTGTGGAGGTCAATCAATCGTCTCTCAATATATTTTCGCCACTTAATTTGACTCATTAAATATTTATCTGTCAAACAAACACTTGAACAATTTCAATTAAAATATTGAGCTGCGACTCGCGAATCCTGCGAAAAGGACAGCCACCACACACAGGACGAGTCCACACCTTGCCTGCGCGGCAACAACAAGAACACCAGGAGTTAACGAATTGGCAATGAGCAAAGCCAAAAACAAAAGTCTAGACAATGGAAATCAAATCGAATTTATTTTTCATTTTTCCTTTCTTTACACTCGCGAATTTAACAAATTGGATAGTATGAAGGAGGAAGAGAGTTTTGGTCCTGAGCTCTGATACTTCATTAGAATATTTTACATTGAGGGGAGAGTAGAGCTATAAGTCTTAATTCTGGCAGAAATTCGATTTATGGCTGCGACGTGCTGATAACTCATGGCTCGAGTTTATACTGCGTTTATTTCTTTTGTGCACAACTGTACTCTTTTTCGGGGAAATACAAAATGGAGGAGGTGCTTAAGCTTTTAGTTGTAGTTTCTTAAAAAACAATGGAAATAGAAAACATGAACATTTAAATTTCAAACTGGTCTTAAGTTTATTAAGTAGCAACTGTACATGGTTTTTTAAATGAAAAATAACTAACGTCCTAAGGAGGCAACTGTACTCCCTTGAAATATAGAGGGGCGGAGACAAGTGGCCTACTATTCATTGAAAGGGGGCAGGACAACTACGTTTTTTACTAAGCCAGGGATGAGGCAACTGTACCTGCCATTGTATTGCAGATGCAGGCAATTGTACTGCCGACTGTAGTGTGGGTGGTGGGTACTGTACTTGAATCCTTGGTAGGTGCAGTCTAGAGCTTTGGTTATTTGGTAAATATGCAAAGATGCCACGCCCCATTGGGAAGCAGGGAGCACATAGAGGGCGTTGCTGGTATTGCAGTTTTGGCCAGCCGTGCTGCTATTGCTTGATATTTAGCTTTGGCTCGTGTTTTGTGTTTTATTGTGCCGTGTTTGCTGCACGTTGTTTGGCCGAGGACTACGAGTCCTGGGAGTATATAGCCTCTTGGCTGAGTCTGGATATACATACCTATATATCGATGTATGTAGGACGAGGGCTGGGGGTTAGTTGCAACAAACAACAGCAAACTGCAGCACTATCTTGCTGTCTCGCTCGCACACTCATTGGGAAGAAAGGATGTTGCTTCCTTGCTCGCACTTTCTCCCTCTTCCTCTCTCTCTCTCTTACTAGCCAGTGCTCTCTATTGTTGTTTATTTAAGTTTTTATGTGTGCCTGTTTAGTTAACGGTATATTTTGCCGGCACAGCACTCACTCTCTCTCACTCTCCCTAAATGCTTTTTTTTCTGCGCATGTCTTCTGCGCTGCACTTCACCGTTAGTTGCATATAGTTACTGCCATTCGTTAGTTTTTTGGCAGCAGCAAATAAAATGTTTATATGCTATTTACTCAAAACAATTTTAAATAAAATACAAGCCGACGAAGCTGAAGCTCTCACTCTCTCACGAGTAACGGGACTGCGCTCTCTCTCTCAGCTTTCTCTCTTTGGCTGCAAGTGGGAGAAGAGAGCCTTCCAAGGCGCTGCAATTGGAATTGTCTTCGTGCCTGTTGCTTCCCTTGCTCTATCTCTCTTTCTCTCTCGTCCTTCGTAGCTCCTGTTTTTGTGTTGCTATTGTTGTTGTTGTGGCGTGGGCTTTTCTTGCTGGTTGGCTCCTGTTTTGTTGTGTTGTGTTTCTGGAAACTGACGCCCTGTCTATGGCTTGTTGTTGCCGGTGTGTTGGTGTGCTGGTGCGCTCGTACCGCTCTCCCATTGGCCGACTTGGCCAACTCGGGTTGGTTGTTTGTACCGTTATGTGGGCCCCCTCCACCCCCATTAACTCTTTTTCGTGTTTATGTGAGCTTTTCTATTGTTGTTCGCCGTGGCAAATTGCACACATAGTTGGGTGGGGGTGTGGCAATGTGGAATATCTCCTGCAGGCTGCAACCACTAAATAAACTCCCCATTTCAGTGTATCTAATTTCCCCCCAAAAGCAATTTATTTGTATTTTCTTGCCTTGCACTCTGTGCCCGGACGCCATCTTGGCGAATGGCTGAAGATATAACGGTAGATAAAAGTGCACTACATCGCTCCATCTCGTTCCGTTAACAGTTTTTTTTTTATAGTGACTTGGAGGAGCTATGAGCTATACCTATGTACATATACCATTGCACGCCTCTACATTTTATTTTTAATGGTTTTTGGGTACACAATTTGTACTTAGTATAACAATTTTGCTTTCCTAAAAGCTATAGTTATTTTCACAAGAACACCATAGGGGTTTCTGATACATTAGCGTGCTAGTGGGATCTTAGGTATAAAGGTTCTGTAAATATACAAATATCTAGTTGGCTAAATATTTTCGGTTACCCATTTAAGAAAATTAAGTGAGACTGAAACCAATTAGGAGTCAAAAACTATAAAATCAAACTATTTTTGGTTAATAGTTTAATGATCATCTTAAACATGTAACCTTTTTTAAAAAGTTTCGTTTTTTAGAGAAAACTTATTAAAATCTATACATTTGTAAGCACATTTCTATATAGGCATGGCTTATAAAGACGGCATGGGCCAAGCCATTTTTGTAGCTTTTTGTTCTGATTATCTCCTCGTTGGGTCCATTGTGAATCCCAAGGAATGATTACCGAAAGCAAGCAGCTCAAGTACTTCCCCAAAGGGGAATTTCTATATGCGCTGTTATCACCTAATGCAACTCATATAAATACGGGCATCCCAAGTCTTTCCATCTTAATAAGAAAATATTCATTGTACAATCAGTAACCTAAGATGAAGTTCCTGTCGCTTTTCGTATTGCTGGCGCTTGTCGTTTGCGCTGCCTGCAAGAATCACGAGGAATGGAAAGGAGAACGACCTGGAGATTTTGATCGCAGACCTTATTCCAATCCCTATGCCTAAACATAGAGAATTTCAATCATTAACATTGTATGTTATAAAAACAAGACAAACTAAATTGTAAATTTAATATCGCAAAAGGGAAATACTAAAAAATAAAGAAAACATTAAATGGTTTATAAGACATCAGTTTACCATTCAAAAATCTCACTTAATAGAATTTGTAGATAAGTTGCTTATCTAATCATAACACCGTATAAATGTATACACATACATACTTTACAGAAATACTTTAAAAATAGTTCTCACAAACGCAATGTCTATTTATAAAGGCACAAAAGTGTTCGCTGGGCATTTTTTTCTTTTGACCATTTCGTTTTGCTTACGGGACCGAACGCATTAATTTCATGACGATGCATTTACGGAATTTTAATGAGCACGGTAACGACAGTAGATTCAAAATCAAAGACGGTAAATGTGTGACCAAACCTTGTGAGGGCTACTAAAAGAGGTAAATTCACAACGGGGATGTAGCTCAGATGGTAGAGCGCTCGCTTAGCATGTGAGAGGTACGGGGATCGATGCCCCGCATCTCCAAAGGATTTTTTCTTCTTTTTTTTTCAGAAGGAAACTTTTTTTTCGATTTTTAAAGTATTTTTAAATCTGAAATACATAAACTTAAAAAACCATAGCCATTAAAAATGTGAGTTATAGGTAGTTATAGAATGGTATTCTACCATTCGACGTACATTGTACAATGATACTTTCCATTTCCAATACAAATTTTTTGTCTAAAGCCTAGTACTCACTTCAATCAAAAAGGCGACGATATGAAAATTTCTATACAAAAATAAAAAATAAATAAACTTTTGTATGGAGATTTTCATTTCGTAGGCTTTTTGATTGAAGTGAGTACTAGGCCTTAAAGAGATTTCGAGTTAAGGAAATTTTATGTTCTGCACTCCCATAAATTTATTACAATTAGAAATATTAAAAAAAATATATATTTAAACTTACACATCGAAATAAAGCTATCATTATAATAACAAACACAAAACTTACTATTTCCAGACGAACAAGGTAATGGATAAGCCTTTGGTTTCAACAGGCCAATCCATTATTGCCATTAAAGCCACCAAGGAAGGTGTACGAAAGATCCTTGTTCTCGGATGCAAGGGAAACTTTGTCCAAATGCACGATGCTGGCACCGGCTTGCTGCTGCGTCGCGTTTGCATTCCAGAAGGTCTGAATGTCTACAGTATGCTCCTGAACGATGGACACATTTACTGTGGTACACAGAGGAACGAGATCTATCAGTTGGAGTTTAACGTAAGTGATGTTAGATGACTTTCAAGTTGGCCAAAGTTATTTCAATTTGTATCCTTTTTTAGACTGGAAACTTGGTCAAAAAGTTAAGCTGCGGCAATGGTGCTGTGTCCATTGTGACCTACAGAGAGCGTTATTTGCTAGTCGGCTGCTACGATGGCTTCATTTATGTCCTGGACAAGGTAGCTGGAACCAAATTGGGTCGATTCGAGGGCGCTGGCCGTTTGGTCTTAGCCCTGGCAGTTGCAGGCGATAAAGTAAGTTAACAAAATTTACCCTTGAATGCGTAAATACTACAACTCACTCCAAATTTACAGATCGTCACATCTTCGAAGGATAACTCGCTGGAGATTCTAACCGTGCCCGCAGCCTTGCTAAATGGCCATTGAAACGAGGCCTGTTAATATTTTTATAAATCATTTTTAATTTAATAATTTTTTACACACACACTTGTTTGTATAATACAATTCAATGAACTTAGTCTTTGATCGCGGATTAAGAACTTAGTCTTTGATCGCGGATTAAGAATTGCGTTCTCTGTATTTACAATTTAATATTACATTTTTTCGTTAGCGCCCAATTGCATTTTTGCAATTGATCTCCTTGAAGAATATTTCTTCGTCGTGAACAAAATAATTAAAAATAAAAAGAGAACCACCAGTAAAAATATAATACGTAGAAATATGTAGACGCTTGTCTTTAAGGAATTTGAGGAGCCCTCACTGGTCGCACGTTGGTCTGCATTTGGTGCAGCTTCTGGTTGAGCTTGTGTGTGTGGTCACGTAGATATTCGATGAGGTCGGCCTGTTTTTCCAGCAAATCCTCAGTGTCGCCTCCTGGTTGCATGAGGCCCAAGGAACCACCGGCGCGATCCGCACCGCGCAGAACATCCGGAGGCAGCTTGTTGCTGTTGAATTTGCGCACTTTTTCTGGAATGGATATTTTGTAATGAGTAAAGGGAGACAAGTTTCAAGGCCCTTGCAGATTCATTGTATCGTTTGCTGAATATCTAAACTAATATAAAATTCGACCTCTAAAAAACGGTCAGTAGCAAATTCCACCCATAACGGATTGACATAAAAATCTAAAAAAATCACATTAATTACTAAAATAATATGTATTAAACTTATATACAAATTATTTTAAAGTTGGCCCAACACTATTCGAGTGAAAATCTTAGGATTTACCCAACCGGTTTTTACTTTATCCAAGTGTCTATGACTAATTTATTGCGAAAAACGAAAACAGGTATTGGAAACGAATTAAGTCTGATTGGTCCCTGACTCATCAGTCCCTTTGTCAGAAACCTAACTTAACTAATTACTCATGTCATTACTTAAAATAGATAAGCTAAGAAAATAGATAAAATCAGAAAGCTTTTGGCTAAAAATACGTTTCTTATTTAAGGGGTTATATACAGTTGTACCGCACAAAAAAATGAAACTTTACCGATTTTTTTTTGACACAAAAATTACTTATGTTTTGCCGGCGTTGTTTAGTACATATTTTTGGGTACTTATTAAAATTTTTTCATAAAAAAATATTAAATAATAAAAATGTTATGGTCAAATTCCAAGACTTGCGGTGGACATCACATCCCAAGAACGGTTCATCTCAAATCCCCAATTCAAAAAAATTCGTTAGTATATTGTATTGCCTAGTCCCTAAACAAAGAATTTGTAAAAATGTTGATTAAAAAAAAAAAATGGCGACGGTTGTAACAAAAAATGTACTTTTTCAAGGTATACAATTTTAAATTTGTATGCTCTAAAAAAAGAAGTTTTCAAAAAAATTGAAAATCCTTCGTTCAAAATTTGGTGTCGAATGAATTAATACTTTTTTAGTAATCGTGTCCACCGCAAAGGTAATTTCGAAAAAAAAAAGATTCTGAGATAATCGCGTTTAAAGTTTCAAGTTTGTAACAGCCGATGTGCAGGTAGTGCGCTATAAATAGCTAAAACTTCGGTTCTAATGCTCCAATCGTTATGAATTTTTGTGAGAGTATTCTCAAAAGTATATACTTCAAGAATATGCAATAAAAATAATAGATTTTTATCTATCACAACTGTATATAACCCCTTAACAATTTCGCTGTCGATCATATCATGATAAATTTTTAAAAAGGGATAGATAGGGATTTTGCATTGATAGTATCAATTTGATACTCCCTGATATATTTTTAGACCTATCCAATTTAAGACCTCTCCTTACCAATATAAAAGCTGTGGGAGACGGCTAGAACCACATTTTCGGCCACGGTGAAGGCGGTCACATAGCTAACTGGCGACAGCCAGCCGGCGGCGCAGTGCTCCCAGAAGTTCTCGGCGTAGAAGTGATGGATCAGGGCCTGGACGGCCAGCAGCATGGAGTTCCACAGGGATACCAGCTGCAGGGGAATCCCCTTCTGCATTTTCGTCTCGCGATGGAAGTCGTGGTAGCCCTGCATGCGCAGATTGTCGTGTTGTCTCTTCACAAAATGATCGAAGAGCTGGAAAACCATTGACATTGAGGTAGGTCGGAATTGACAGAGCCACGGAATGGATTATTTACATATGTGATGACCCAGAAGGTGGCCCGCAGATAGAGCATTATGAAGTAGGCATCGCAACGTCGATCCGCTGGAAACGAGGCCGCCAGTACGATTCCCACAATCGAAATTGCAGTCGAGATAAGCAGATGAAGGCTGTGGGAGCACAGGGAATGGGTTTAATTGGGTACATTATCAGTGGTTTGGTTTGGAAACGCAATGGATGATTCACTGCCGCCGGCAGAAGTCTCCATGATTCCCCTGGTCCCCCGTATCCACCATATAATCACCTAAATGCGGGCACTGTGTTCAACTTGAAGCTCCCATTGTCGTTGGAGAAGAGTACGGGGTCCAGTAGGTGCTCCGTGTCGCGGATAAGGGCGGGGGACACGCCCGGCTGGACAGCGGCACCTCCTGTAGCTGGTTGCTCCATTTGCACAGCCCAATAACGCGTAGTTTTCGAATTATTTTTGCTTTGTTTATTAACGCCGCAGAAAAACAACACTTATTTTCTTTCGATATGGCAGCACTGGTAAGAGTTGGCATTGTTCCACAGTGGCAACGCCGGGCTATCGATATTTTTGGGATGCAGCTCGATAGCCCTGACATTAGGCTGTTATAATTTAAAAAAAGTTTTCTTTCTATTACTTATGTGTTTTTTAACATTCTTTTAGCTTTTCGCTTCCTTAAATGTATGGACAATAATTCAAAAATTGTTTTCATTCTTAGTACCAGGCACTTCTACCTTCAGCCATGCCTTTGATTTCCTTTTTTTTTTACAAATTTTTAATCGCTTATAAATCATTACAAATTTTAAAATTATTTACCCGTTATTCCTCTTATTTCTTATGCCAATTATCAAATATTCGTATATTAACGGAAAAATACCAGGGATCCGAAAAGACTCAGCGCTATCAACAACTATCGATTGTTTTGAAACAAAACCAAAATATTCGATATATTCGTATAGCAAACCCAGCTCTATTTGAACCTTGCATTTAGGCAATTGGATTTTATTTTTAACTGATTGTCGGGTAGAATTAAGCAGATTGCACGATGACTACGCCTGTGCCGCGTCGCACCAAGGATATGATGGCACTGGCACTGGATTCGGACTCGGAGGACGACTTCAATACGCCGTACCGACCACGATCGCGGCAAGCGGCGGCGGCAGAAGGAAAACAGCAGCCAGTGGCGTCTTTCCAACTGCCTGCGAGGGGCAAGGAGAACGATCCCTATCCCATGCCCATAAATGTGCTGTAAGAACTGAGATATCCTTAGGGGATTGCTTTGTATCGAATAATAATCAGGTGTACCTTATCCTTCAGAGATTCATGTTATTTAAAGGGCTTCTGTCATAAAGTTCCTATTCCTTTTTATGATAGGCTCTGTTTATAAGGTGATCTCATAGACCATTCAGTGTTCCCATTTCAATATGAAGACTAAAAATATTTATATTATTCAGACTAACTTTTCTACCATTCCGAAGTTAAGATCTATTCTTCTGGACCTTTTCCACAGAAAGTTGTTCATCTGTTAAAGAACCCCTTATCATTCAGCTACTAATGTTCCCTTTTCCACAACTATATTAATGCATGTCTTAATTTTATAATCAACATTTTAACATTTCAGACCTCGTCGAGTCTCCGAATTGACCATGATGGACTCGGACAGCGAGGAGGAGGACATCAAGAGCAATCACAACCTAAACTGCGCCATCCTAAACGATTCCTTTGTACTGAGCCCCTCCCAAGAGCTAACGAACAGCAATGGCAACATTACCACTCGACGATCATCCCACGCCGTTCCTCTCAAGCAATCCGATTCGAATCTCTCGTTCCTGGGGCGTTTCAACAACATGGGCATCAATTGCAGCAGCAGCCAGGGATCCCCGACTTCCAAGTCGGAGAAGCAGGTGGCCAAAAAGCCAGCGCCCACGATCCAAACCGTCACGGAAAGACGTCAAATCCAGGACATAGAGACCCCGCTGCGCAAGGAAATCTGCTCAACCTCGAAGGGCAAGTCGGATGCGGACTTTATCACACCCCAAGTGCGAACCATTGGTTCCAGTTTAGCTGGAAAGAGCCGCAGTGCGGTGTCCACTGACTTTCGTGCCCAGAAGGTGCTCTTCCAAACGCCCATGACCGTAAGTCGGGCGGCTCCTGTGCCCTCGGAGAGCATAAGCTTCTCGCTTTGCGACACCATCAGCGAGAGTCCCGACATTCCGGAACCTCCGAAAAAAGCAGATCCTCCGAAGAGCCAACACCAGTCCAAAAAGTCCCTGGATAATGTTTTCCGGGAATCGGAGAAGGACAACGGAGCAGCCAAAGAGGAGATCGCTGAGCCAAAGGAGTCGATGCCCGCAGTTCCCGTCCAAGCAGAACCGTCTTCCAACTCGTCCAAGACCTCTACCGTACTAAGAATTAAGAATCATGAATATACGATTGCCAAAAAGCTGGGCTGCGGTGGGTCCAGCTCGGTTTACTTGGCGCGTCGCTCGGATTCCGGCGATGAGTTCGCACTGAAGGTGGTGGATCTGCAGGCCGATCCCCAAGTGGTTCAGGGCTATCTCAACGAAACCAAGCTGCTGGCCAAGCTGCAGGGAAACGTTTGCGTTGTGGCGCTGTATGATTAGTGAGTTGAAAGCATTTGAAATTTGATATATAAAATATTAAACCAAATTTACAAAGTATGTGGTAGGTGATCTGCAATGGAACTATAATAACACTAGTTTACAGCCAAATTAATTGCAAATTCTGTTAGTGTTGGAAACAAAAAGACCACTAATTTTTTTTTCGATGGCACAGTTTTTTTTTAAGATTTTTTAAAGTTTAAAATGTTACATTTCAGATTTTTTTCTAATTTTATTCTATATCCTGGCTTATATCAACCCAATTGGACCAGTTTCCGTTTCATTTTAAAGTCAATAGATCAGAGCTTAACTTTGCCATACAGATCAATACGATTGGATAAGTGATGGCAGCGCAGTAGCTCGACAAAGATGAAAAATGTGTTTTTTGGTCGACTGTAAGTCGGCTGTATGTATTGTAAAAACCCGAAATAAATCCCTTGAAAAATCATAATGGTTCCAAACTTAAAGCTTACATCCTACCAAATAAAACAAGCCAAATGTTGCCCAAATCCATGGAAAATTGGATTTTTAAAGTTCGGATTCTTCAACTTTTTTCGATCGACAGAGTCTAAACTTACGATTTATCATAGGAGGCGACATTTAAACCAAAATTAGTGGTGATGGCAGCCGGGTCAAAAAATAGCTTAATTTTAGAGCTAGAAAATGGTTAAATAAATTTAATTTCTTATAATTCTTTGATTACCCCTACTAACATTGGTTTATTTTTTCAGTCAACTGGTTCGCGAAGAATCCAAGCTCTATATGGTTATGGAGAAGGGCGACTGCGACCTGAACAAGATCCTGCAAAGCTACACCACCACCCTGCCGTTGTATAGCCTTATGAACATCCTGTACCAGATGCTGCAGGCGGTCAACTACATTCACCAGAACGGTGTCATTCACTCGGATCTCAAGCCGGCAAACTTCCTGATGGTCAGCGGAAGACTGAAGCTGATCGACTTTGGCATCGCCAGCAATATTTCTTTGGACTCGACGAGCATCATCAAATTTTCACAGGCGGGCACATTCAACTACATTAGTCCGGAGGCATTGACGGACACATCCACGGGCAACAGTCCGATGCGCGGAGCCAATCAGCCCAAGATCAAGATATCCACCAAGTCGGACGTGTGGTCGCTGGGCTGCATCCTCTATCTGCTGCTTTACCAAAAGACGCCCTTCGGCCACATCCGAAACATCTATGCCAAGATGAGTGCAATCGCGACTCCGAGCACCAGCATCGAGTTTCCGGCCATTCAACCCTATTATCCCATCATGCTGGTTCATGTGAGTTGGGCAGGGATGATGCTTACATACTAGAGCCCTGCATGAATGGATTCAATGAATTATTTTGACTTTTTTGTTTTATATGAATGAATTAATTCGAATTTTGATTTTAATAGTATTGAATGAATTTGAATTTTGAGTTTAATAGAATTGAAAAATAATATAAACGACAATTTCTTTTGAAGAAAAAAGGGCATAATTTTGTGATTAAATCTGCCTGAATTTTAACTAAGCAGTTAAAATTGATTTGTTAAAAATTTTTCACTTTTTGTTCTCAAAAGAAAGCACAAAAAAAATCTGGCAAATTAAAAAAATTCATAAAAATTTTTCATACATTCATTCAATTCGAAATGAATTAGAAAAACATTCAATTTATTTCACACAGAAGGACAAATCAGAAATTTCATGGCATACTATGATAAAACAAAAATTGAAAGATTCACGCAGAGCTCTATTACATACTTCAATAAATCGAAAATTAACTAGCTAGAAATTTGAAAGAATAACTAATTATTTTTGCAAATTCGACTTGAATAGTTATACTTATATCCAACAATCTCGGACCTATTTACAGATGGCCAAGAACTGCCTTCAGCTGGATCCCAAGAAACGACCGTCGTGCACTGAACTGCTACAGTATCCATTCCACATGATCATTCCGCTACAGAATCTGCAGATACCCAAGCAGAACCGCCAACAGTAATTAAGCTTGAGAGCTCAACTATTTATTAGTGAAATGTCAAAGGTCAAATGTCTTTCTCATATGTGTGTGTATATATTTAATTCTCATTTTATCGTAAATTAAACATCATAAATCCTTATAATGCAGCTATAGCTCATTCTTTTTTGTGTTTCTTGTGGTTGCTGATGGGCTTGAATTTGTTGGTTTGCCTAATTTATATCAGTATGTCGCATGCAACAGGTTTTCGACAATTACTTGCTAGTTAGCATTCGTGTGTTTAATTTGCGTTTACTTATTAGATAGTTTCTCATTCAGTTTTTTATAAAAATAGTTATTTTCTTGTTTATATACGCTTAATTAAATGTTGCTGCTGCCGTTTTGCTCTTTCCGGGCTTTGAATACTTTGCGCTGCTCCGCGGCGGAAATGAAAAGTACATAGAAACGGAAAACAATTATGGAAAACATACAAAAGTCACAGTAACCCAAATGCAAGGACATACATTCATACTATTTAGTTTAGTTTATTTTTGTGGATTTGCCTTTTAAGTAGCTGGGTTTTAAATTCATTTGCTTAACATAAGATACATATACAATTGTTTATAGCGCGTTTTTAAATGCAAGTGTAACACAAAAATAATAATCGCATGCGAAGTATAGGATAAATAATAGTTAGAAAGTAGCAGCAGCAATGGATTTTCTTCCGGGTTTAATTTTTTTGTTTTTTTTTCTGGGAGGGCTTGGGTGGAAATTGCCTGCTTCTGTGTTCAGAGTCTGGCTTTTCCTTCGCTAGCTTTTCTTCTGTTCTCGTTTAACATTGCACAAGTTTCGATTGTTATCATTATCTTGCTTTAGTTATGTGTATATAATTTCTTAAAGCGTTCCGTAGTTCTTCATTCTCGTAATTGTTGCTTTTCGTTACTATAAAATGTTAAATGTTGCTGTTGTTGTGGGACATGCTTTAAGTTTACTTAATTTTCCTCGCCTTTCTCTGTTGTTACATTAACTTTAAACTTAATAGATTGTTAGAGTTGTTGTTTGTTTTTTTACTGTTGCTGTGGTTATGGAAGTTGGACAAACTCCGCGGTTGCTTGTCAGTTTATCGTCGTTGTTGGCCTCCACCTTCCTTTTCCTCTTTTATCTAGGCGACATTAAATGTCCTGAAATGGGAAGAACGCTATTAATGAAAGGAGTTCTTTAGCAATTAACTTATTTTAAATTTTTATTAATAAATCTTACCTATTCTCCGTTGGAGGCATGCTGCTGCAGCGTAAGAATCTGCTGCTCCTTCTGTTCGACGATGCCGCGCCAGTGCTCGTCCTGCTCGCGAGCTCGCTCCTCCAAGTCCATCAACGTGTTGGTCTGTGCGGGTAAATATATTTTAATGTGAACCCTGATATTTTCAAGAGTATCAGTAGTACTCACCGTCTTGGTGACCAGCTGGGTGAGCTTGTCGTTGCACTCCCGCAGCTGCAGGTTCTGTTTGTGCAGCTCCTGCTGCTCGGCGGCGGCGGCGGCGGAGGATTGGCTATTCGAACTACTATTATTGCTACTAATATTGTTGTGGGTGCTATTGTGGTTGCTACTGCTACTATTGTTTGATTGTGTGGACTTATGACTACTGTTGCTGCTCTGCTTCTCGGGCTTCTCGGCCTCGAGCTTCTGCCGCAGCTTATCCTGCTGCTGCTTGACATGGGTGGCCAGGACGTGTTCCAGCCACTGGTCGAAGGAAGCTTGCTGGGCATTGCCGGACTGCGCCTTCACTGCCTCGGGATACAGGCGCTGGTAGAGATCCCGGATTCTCTGCTGCTCGCTCTTGGCCGAGCTGGCACTTCCTGCTCCATTGGCGGCCACTGCCTTCTGTTGCTGCTGCTGCAGCTCTTTGTGTTGTTGCTGGAAAGATTAAAACGTGCAATTGTTTAAGCATTATTCGATTAAAAAGAATTGCAGATTGAAATCAAATAAATAAAGCTGAAGAAGCTGGCAGAGTTCATGCACTTACGCCTACGGATTGCGCTGTATTTGTTTTCGTCTTGGCTGTTGCCTTAGCCGTTAAGGCTTCGGCATTTTGCAACGCTTCGATCAACTTCCAATTTTTCAATCGCACGTCCTGACGAAACACAAATACGTGGCAATTAGTAAAGGATGCAGGAAAAGACGTAAGGATGCGGATGCAAGAGACAGCGACAACAAATGCGTAAATACATTGTTAGAAAGTTCATAAATCCCCTACACCATCATTGGTTATTGAATTCTTCGGTCCAATTAATTGAAAATTTCACTGGCAATTTTTGACAGATTTAGTAGGCAACCTATACAAAATATTTTTTAAGCTTTTGCTTACTTGCTGATATTAAATTTAAAGAAAAACAAAGTAAGGCAAAATAATATGGTAAGAGAATTTAAGAATTAAATTAAGAGTTAGAATGAGAATGCAATAGATAATAAATTGAAATAGGATAATTGTAGGTATACAATAGAGCCCTGCATGATTGGATTCTATGAATTATTTTGAATTTTTTTTTTAAATGAATGAATTAATTAGAATTTTTGGTTAAATAGAATTGAATCAATTTGAATTTTGATTTTAATCGAATGAATAAATGAATGGCATGAATTCCGAAATAATTCAAACGACAATTTCTTTTCCATAATTTTGTTGTTAAATCTGCCTGAATTTTATTTACTAGGCAGTTAATATTAATTTGTTAAAAATTGTCCACTTTTTGTTCTCAAAAGAAAGCACAAAAAATTCATAAAAATTATTCATTCATTCATTCAATTCGAAATGCATTAGAAAAACCTTCAATTTACTTCAGATAGAATTGAATTAAATAAATCAGAAATTTCATCGCATACTACGATAAAACAAAAATTGAATGATTCACGCAGGGCTCTAGTATACATTAACTACCTAATTATATTTATAACTTTTCAATCTCAACTCACGTTATTCTTCTCTCGCTGCTCCTGAAGCTCCTGCTGCAGCTGCTTCTCCTTGGCCTGCAGCTGATCGGCCCGCTGCTGTGCCTCCTGGAGCTGTGACTGCAGGGCGGTGGCCTGCTTCTGCTGCTGGACCTGGTTGTCCGACAGCGAGTCAACCTGCGAGCGCAGGGCACTCAGCTCCTGCTGCTTCTGGGCCAGAGCTTCGGTCTGGGCCTGGGCCTGCTCCGACTGGGCGGCCCATTGAACGGCATTGCTGGCGGCTTGGGTGAGATGCTGGCTGAGCGTGAGGTTGCTGGCCTCCAGGTTGGACGACTCCTGGCGCAACTCCTGCAGCTCGGCGGCGTGGACGCGCTGCAGCTCCGACTGCGCCTGCGTGACGGTGCACAGCTCCTGCTTGAGCTCGGCGTTCTCAGCCTCCAGCTGCTTGCGCTGCTCCAGCTCAAAGATGCTGTTGTTCTGACGCGCCTCCAGCTCGTCGCGCTGCTGCTCCAGGGCCTGCAGCTGCTGAGCCTGCTGCTGAATCACCTCGTTCTTCTGCTGAGTCTCGGCGTTCACAAACGCGGTCATGTCGGCCAGGCACTTTTCCTTGTGGGCGAGATCCTGCTGCAAGCGTTGAAGCTGCACAAGATCCTGCGAGTTGGCTTGCTTCTCCCTTACAAGGTTCTAAAATAATATTTAAAGATTGCAATTACTGTTGGATAAAATCTCAAAAAAATTTTAAAAGTATTAAAGGATTCGGCCAGTTGAAGCTTTTTTACCCTTGCAGATCATTCCTATTAACTTACAAATCGCAAATTTTAAATTTCGTTTTATTTTAACATTATTTTTTATATCCTTCCCTATGGCAGCTATATCTTATAGTCGTCCGGTTTTTGTTAAATTTAATTCGAAATTCGGAAATATTACAAAAAAATCATATCCTAGAGTAAAAGAAAATACAATAAACACCAACGGAGCTATAATTTGTTTCCAATTAATTTCCCAATAATTTTTCAATCGTTCCTATGGCATCTATATGAAATAGTTATCCGATTTTGATAAAATTAAAATTGAATTTCAGAAATATTAAAAAAGAGAAAAGAATACAATAAAAACCAAAGAAGCTAAAATTCCTTTCCTATTACTTTCCCAATAATTTTCCGATCGTTCCTATGATATAGTCGTCCGATTTTTTAAATATTGAATTCGAAATTCAGAAATATTTAAAAAATAATATTCCCAAGAGTAGAAGGTAATATATCAGAAAACACAGAAGCTAGAATAATACTCTGCAAGGGTATAATAATAATTTTCTCCCACCTGCAACTGCTGTCGCTCGAGCGTCAACTTGTCGTTCAGACTGGACAGCTCCTGGTTGAGGGCGGCCAGCTCCTGCTCCTTGCCTTGCAACTTATCGATGTAGGCCTGGTTGCGGGCATGCATCTGGGCGCGTTCGGTGTTGACCTCTTGTCGCAGCTCGCGCAGCTTGGCCTGAATTCCGATGGAGGCCTCCTGCTCCTCGGCCAGCAGCTTTTCCTTCTCCTCCAGCTGACGCTTGAGCTTCTGGCAGATATCATCCGACCACTCGGAGTGCGAAGCGGGCATATCCTGCTGCTTGTTCAGTAGATAGTCAATAAGTATCTGAATCTCAGAGCGATTTAGCTCGGCACGGGAGAACACGTTCATCAGAGCATTAACGCCAATGGTCTGGTTCTGGTGATCGGCCAGTTTGTCCAATGCCTGAGCCAAATCCTTGGCCGTGAGGGTCTCCTTCTGATTCTGTTTCTTGTTTTGCTGCTGCTGCTTGGTCTTGTTGTTGGCCTGGTTGTGCTGGGTTTTGGGCGAGCCATTCTGCTGCTGCTGCTGTTGCTTGAGGATCTGCTTGGTGACAACGGGTGCCTCAGTTTCAGCTTTCTCCTTTTTGGCCACGTTACCGCCGCCGATCTTCTTCTGGGTCTGCTGCTTGTTGTTGCTGTCCTCCTTGCGCTCCTTCTGCTCCTGCTTCTTCAGCTCGACCACATCCTTGGGAATCTTGGTCTCAAAGGTGTTCAAAGAGGGTGTCTCCTCGGAAGTTGCTGGCGGCTTGACAGCCACAGTTTCGTTCTTGTTGACCAGGATGCCAGCAGTCTTGTTGTTGGCTCCTCCGTTGCGCTTTTCCTTTTTGCCCTTTTTGCCAGCCACAGCAGGTTGGTTCTCCTTCTCGGCCACGCTGCTGGGACGACGC